CCTGGCTGGGCTGGAACTCCAGCTTCACTCTAGTAGCAGAGGGGAGACCATGGGAATGACAACCATCATCAAACAACACAGAGTCATCCAGCCCCCAGACTCTTCATTCTGGGACGTTTACAAGAAAAAATAACTCTGAAAGACACCTATGTTCAAAGCAATAGTTTGTAAGTTGCTGAAGAGTATGCAGCAAATAGAACACCAATAGCTTTCATTTTCATTAGAAGTACGGGGAAAAAAACCCACTTACCTTTCCCAGGGGCAGTAGCAGTTACTTTGTTGAGCTATGCCAAGACCTGCAAAACTCTGCCGTTGGGCCATTTATCCAGAAACGTTACAAAAGGAGACACCAGAATGCAGTATTTATTTCTCCATCAAAACTCCAGCCGAAGGATGAAGACCTCTCAACCCTGACAAATACCTCTCCCAACTACCTCTGAGAAAGAGTAATCACATTTAGTAGCAATTCCTGTTAGGCAATTAATTGCTTCACTTTCCAGACAATGGGGGGGGGGAAGGTGTGGGTGGGGGCGGGGGTGCAGTTGGGGTCACCTGGGAGAACGTCTGTAACCTGTTTCTTTGGCTTCCAGCTGCCAGCTCCTCCCCATCTGTGAGAAGCCAGCAGGACTGAGCCCAGGGGTGTGCTCCACTCTGAAGGACACAATCTTTGTTGTACCCCTTACCATAATAGATAAGAGAGCCACTTTTAATAATTAAAACTAAGAAAAATACCACCGTTTGCTGTTTTCCTCCTCAGTTATCTGCTAATAAGAAGAACCAGCGTGTGGCAGTTTTTAAACTTCTGCAGGTGGAAATCATTATCCCAATTAGCTACAAAATTAAGAGGGAGGGAAGTGATGTTAAATCTCACACACAAATAACCATAATATGGGTACAGGGTAAAATTTTAAAGATTTCTGTGGTTTGCTTTTTATTTCTTTAAGTATGAGAAAGTGGTAGCTTCCCAAACTTTAATGTGCATGTTTAAAATATAGGTTCTGGCCAGGTGCAATAGCTTATACCTATAATCCCAGCACTTTGAGAGACAGAGGCAGGAGGATTGTTTGAGGCTGGAAGTTGAAGACCAGCCAGGGCAACAAAGCAAGGCCCCGTATCTTTTTAAAAAGCTTAGCTGGGCATGGTGGTACACACCTGGGCCAACTACTCTGGACACCGAGGCAGCGGGATCGCTTGACCTAGGAGTTTGGGGCTGTAGTGAGCTAGAGTTGTGCACTGCACTCCAGCCTGGGTGATAGAGCAAGACCCTGTCTCTAAATAAATAAATAAAAAGTAGGTTCTCATTCAACAGATTTAGAGTGCAGGCCAACATTTCATGTTGAAGCCACCCAGGAAGGCGGCAGAAGCTGAGGACAGAAGACTGTAAGCAAAGTTCAAGATGAAGATGAGCACTGAGAGACCTTCAAATGACAGTGACAAGGGCTCACGAACATTGTTTTGCTCTCTAAACGCCCCAAATGCAAACCTTCTGTATTTCACCCGTATTGCTCCCATAAAGCAGGCGAAGGAAATTTCTATCAGGGCAGTGACCTAGGGCAAATCAGAGCACTATCTTCACTTCCCCTAGCTCTGGAATATACAAAGGGGCCAAAGACCTCTGGGAATCCAATCACTTGCAACCCCTATAGTCCTAGACTATAACAGAGTTGGTACCTGTCACATTTCAAAAAGAAGGGGAATTTAAGCAGCCATATCACTCTCAAGATACCTAGTATTTCTAACAGGGTTGATTTTCTTCCTCTACATCCTGTTTTAGACCAGGATATTCACTTCACCACCACTGCCCCCAAAGAAAAACTGGCTGTTTGTTATTTAGCAAACCAAACCCACACACTTTTATTACTATTATTTTTTATTGACATTACTTTTATGTTAAGATGAACCTGTATGTCATGTGGTAATCGCTGAATGAGTGAATAAATCACTGCACGGCTCAAGTGCAAAAAGCTTTTCAGTGAATAATTCAAAAGAAACAAAAAGAAATCTGTGCTTTGTGCTGATCAATGAACTCTCAACAGTTGGTTGTTTCTCAGTAACTGCAGATTTCACAAGAATGAGATTAAATGGCTTTTTACATTCTGTGCTGGAAAGAACAGGAGGACTTACAGGAAGTATGGTCCCTTAGAATCCAGTTGAGCAGGTATATAATCAGTACTGTGTGTTTTTCTTTAGACAATGAAAACCCACAGTCCCAGCAAGTTTTGAAACTACTGCCATGGCCATAAATAAAATCAAATGCTGTTGTTTTCCTCCGTTAAAGACGGTGTTCAAGGTTAAGGAAACAGAACGTGGTAGCAGTAATGCTGGCTCTTTTGTTACTTAGCTATGTGTTCTTGAAAAGTCATTTTTCTGGATAAAAAAAGAAAAAAGAAAAGTCATTTTCTGGATTTATTTCAGCATTTATAAACTAAGAGTGAATTAGTGCATTTTAACTGTAATGACACACTATTCTTTATGAAAATCTACGTACATCTTATCCATGCTCTGAAGATTTACAGTCACAATTTTGCATGCAATTTCAGAATATCAAAACCCCTGAACCGTATCCATGCCCTCCCCACCAAGATGAATAACACCTGACTGAGGTGATAACACCTGACTTTGAACTCTATGATTGTTCCCCCTGATTTTTAATAGTTGAAGCAGTGTTTTTCAACCATTTTTATTTCATGAGGCATGCTTGACCCTATAGTTAAACTTCCGCAGCAACCTTAAATTACATTGATCAAAAACAAAGGATAAAGAAAGAATATGTTTACTGTACTTTGAACTTCTTTCAAAATAATTCGTGATCTTTAAAACTTTTTTCAGCACCTCTAAGATCCTCTCATGGCACAGTTTGAAAATCACGGAGTTAAAGAGAATGTTTATGGTGGTTCCACTACGGTTTTCATTCTAGAACTAATTATATTCTAAAATTCTTGGTTGGCTCAAAAGATTTTTTTTTAAAGCCACTTGGTTTGTCTCCTCTAAAAGGTGACAATTAAGTAGGTAAAGGCATGATGTCCAATGTAGTAATTACCCTGTTTTACTAAGATAAAATTAATTTCAAAAAACATACTAAATGAGTACTAATTAAACAGCAATTGGGGTCTCTGGGTACCAGAAACATTCAAGAAGCAACAGAATGTATAAAGAATGTATTTGCTTGAGAGAGTATTTTCCATTAAGACGAACCTGTATGTCATGTGGTAAAATGCAACAACAACAACAAAAAA